ATTGTTTAAAAATGGCTAAATGAATGGATCCTAATAACAAATAGGAGCAGGACTAGAGCATAGGGCCCCTTGAATCCGCATCAGCATCTAATAAGATTGTCGCTGATCATCTACATCAACTGACTTACACCCTGTCCTTATATTCCTCGATTCCAATGGTGTATAAAAATCTACTGATCTCAGCCTTGAATATATTCCATGACTCAGCATCAAACCCCACAGCCTGATGAAGAATTCCACAAATCCACAATCCTTTGATGACAACTGTTTTCTTCACCTCAGTCGTAAAGAGTCGACTTCCCTTCCTGAGGACATATCTCAGTCCTAGATTTCTCAATGTCTATCCTGTCAAAGCACTTTAGAATCTACACTATGACTCCACTTAATGGTAACTTGCTTAATGTTGCTTTCCTCTAACTTTGTTAATAAAGTAAAGTAGTGTCAATATAAAGAAAGTCATTACATTAAAATGTCGTCAGCTCCAGACTTCCGGTTTTGCAGCCTGCTCACATAAAAGACCTTCACCCCAGCGCTTCCATTTCCAATCACAATCCTAAAGGTCACTCCACTCTCCCTCCTGCATTGCCAGTCCCAAAACCTTCCCTTCACTCCTGTTCCTGCTCCTACTCTTCATCCTTACTTTATGAAGTTCCTGGTGTCTGTTGTCACCACTGGAGGCTTCAGCGCTTCCTCATGTACTGCTGTGGTTCTCGGCTTGGATCCTATTCTAGCTCTTGCTCCTGCATGTGCACCGTGCACCTACCTTAGCCCCTGGTCTGTTCTTTAGTTGCACTGCCCTTGACATGTTCCTCCTGTTCTGCACCGAAGTGCAGTAAAAGCAAAGATTGGCTGGTATGGGTAGTCCTCACTGTCTGATACCAGCACTGGCCACCTTCTGCCACTAGGTGGAGGCTGATTAAACTACAAGTACCATACTGTGGGTGTGTAATTCTTTAGAACTGGTTACAATGTATTGATGCAATCATACATCACTAATATAAAAGAAATACAATGTATTGCGTTTGGCAAGTTATTTAAGCTGCATCCATCGATGGTGCTGCACATGTAATGGTCCAATGTATTTGTATATTGATTCTTCCAGATAAGAAATGTCCAAAGGAACCTAACCTGGTTTTAAAATGATTCACATAAGGTCATTTCACATATAAGTTGTGATGCTCGGAAACATTCCAACTTCAAGTGAGGACTTGGGGCAATGTGTTTCGATGAGACCAACTCTCATTCTTCTAAAATCGAGAAACAGGGCCAATTGATTCAACTTCATTATATAGGCCAAACACCTCATTCAAGGCACCAACACAATGAACTTTTGTTGTATCACCTGTAATGCAATTATATCCATCCTTAAATATTAAGAGCACAACTCCACATAGTATTTCAGGTGTAGACTCACTAAAGTCCTGTACAATTCTGGAGACAGTTCTTTACCTTGTACTCCAATCCTAGTGATTAATGGGATTTACCTTCCTACTTGCTTGATGTGCTCCCATGCCAATTTTGTTTGTGTTCTGATTATGAGCACACCCAAATCTCTGCCAATTTCAACATTTAGAAATTTCAGGCCTTTTAAAAAAATATTATAATTTTCTAATTCTTATAACTGAAGTCAATAGCTCTCACTTCCCCACATTATGTTCCCTCCTACCGATTTAGTACTTAGCTTGTCTATGTTTTTGCCACCTCTTTATAACCTCGACTGGATTTTATATTGTCAGGAAGCTTAGATATTTAGTCTGGAGTTTGGAGTTTCCCATTTTTAGGCAATGTAATTTCTGGAAAGTTTCACAGTGCATGTTCTGTAATGGCTCAAAATGATTTTTCTCACACTATTTTGTCTCCTCACCTCATTAATTATAAAACTGGCCCCTACGCCATCCTTCTCATACATGTACATGATAGACAAGGTGAAATTCGCGATGATGCCAGGACCTTCTGACATATAAGCTGCTGGCACCATATTTAAAGCACAACTACACATCACTTCAGATGCTGCAAGGGAAGAAGATGATCCTCTTAGGAACCAACATGCCTCAGAATGGGAGAATGGGACCCTGCTTTCCAGATTGGGACGTGGAGACCCTGGTGGACAGTGTGATTGAAAGGAAGGCCACTGTCCACGTAGCAGACCATCAGAGGAGGCAAACTCAGCTGGCCTGCAGACAGATAGCAGCCTGAAGTCCCAGGTGCGGGCAAATTGCACAGCAATTCAGAAAAAAAAGATCTTACCCACAATCTTCTGTGTGACCTCTCACCCACTCAACTCTGGCTCTATACACAAACCTTACCAATATTCATGGACTATGGACTTCACTATACTCGACGTCTCTCACTCACCTCATCCTCCACAACTACTAATCTTTCCCGCCCTCTGACTAAAACACTATGCACAGAGGCTCACAGTATCCAAGTGAACCAAAAGTGAGTGCACGCTAAGAAATGAAGAGCCATAATTTGTATCCTGTACAGATCCAGGAGATGGCTGTGTCTTTTTTTTCCACTCACTCATGGGATGTGGGTGTTGCTGGCTGATCCAGCATTTATTGTCCCTTCCTGGGAAGATGGTGGTGAGTTGCCTTTGTGAACTGTTGCAGTCCACATACTATACATAGATCCATAGTGCTGTTTGGGAGGGAGTTCCATGATCTTGTTCCAGCGACACTGAAGGAACAGTGATATATTTCCAAGTCATGATGGTGAATGGCTTGGAGGGGAATTTGCCAGTGGTGGTGTTCCAATGTACCTGCTGCACTTGTAGCCGATAACAGTCATAGGTTTGAAAGTAGTTGTCTAAGGAACATTGTGAATCTCTGCAGTGCATCTTGTCGATGATATGTACTGCTGCTACTGTAAGCGGTAGAGGGAGTGGATGTTTGTGGTGCCAAGCAAGCCGGCTGTTTTATCCTGGATGGTGTCAGGCTTCTTGAGTGTTGTTGGAGCTATACTCATCCAGGGAAGTGGGGACAATTCCATCACACTCCTGACTTATGCTTTGTAGATGGTGGAGGACAGGCTTGGGAGAGTCAGGAGGTGAGTTCTCCACTGCAGGATTCCTAGCCTCTGACCTGTTGTAGCTACAGTATGTATATTGCTAGTCCAGTTCAGTATTTGGTCAATGGTGACCCCCAGGATGTTGGTAGTAGGGGATTCAATGAATCACTGAATGTCAAGAGGGCAGGGGGTTGGTGGTTGAATTCTCTCTTATTGGAGATGGTCATTGCACTTGTGTGGCATAAATATTAGACAGATATAATGTAGGTTTGTTTAAATGAACTCTTTTGGGTAAGAAGAAACTTTAAAGGCCATTTTCTCGGGAAAGTGAATAGACTTGACAAAGTGGACTGTATATAACCGGAGGAAGAATGGGACACTGATACTTCCTCATTCCAAATGTACCCTATTCATATGAATGTGGAATAGGTTACTATTTCTTGGCAAATACAAATACACAAACAAATACAAAGGTATGGTTTGAGAAGTGGCATGCCTTTCGTCGATCTGTATTAAGATAAATTAATTTGGCTCCTCTGTGGCCTTGACAAAGTATTACACAGAGGGTGCATTTATTTAATGCAGTATCTTTCTCACTCTGTTGTAGTACATCTTGTCTCTAGCAGATTCCTTCTTTATTGATAACCACTGAACATTTCAAGGTTGTGCTTGCAGCTGCTGGAGGAGCTGGAATTGCTCCAATGTTGAAACTTTCCTGTAGATCAGCACCAATAGGTTGAAGGAACAAAATTAAAACCCAGAGAGAAAACGAATGCCAGACTTTTGTCTGCTAGGTTCTATTTAATAGTAAAACAAGTAGTCAGTTTGAAATGAAACTGGCTAGCCAAAGTCTGGTGACAACAGTACCAATCAGGGCCAAACTTGATAACCCGTGCTTTGTTCAGAACTACTCCTACTCCACCAGTGTAACATTTTATTTTATTTTACTTGCATGCAAGATATGCACGTCACTGCCAAAACTAGTATTTATGTTCATTCCTAACTATCCTGGAGTGCTGAGCTGGCTTTATAAATCTCTTGCAGTCCGTATGTGTAGACATAATCACAGTACTGCAAGGAAGGGCTTTCAGGATTTGAAATAGCAATGATGAAGGAACCTCGATATAGTTCCAGGAAGAGACTGTGTGTGATTTGGAGGGGACATAAAAGCGATGGTGTTCCCATGTGTCTGCTCCCTGGGTTCTTCTAGGTGGCAGCGGATGCAGGTTTGGGAGGTGCTACAGAAGAAGTCTTGGTGAGTTGTGCAATGCACCTTGTAGATGGTACCAACTGCTGCCACATATATCAATGATAGAGGCAGCAGCTGTTTAAGCTTGTAGATAGAAACAGAAAATAGGAGTTAGCCATTCGCATGTACGTACATGTCTCATAATTCCCTGATGGTTGAGAGTAAACTGATGGTGACAGTTGGCCAAAGTGGATTTCTCCTGCCATTTGTATACTGAATGTTTGTGGATATATGTAGCTATGCTGTAGCCATAACCTCCATCACTGGAGCTGTGATGCTGGAGCTTTGGCATAGCAAATATATTTGGTTGTTATTTGATATCACATGGAGCGAATTTATTTTACCCCAAGTGTAGCCAAAACTCTGTTCAGGCGTGACGTGGAGGCGCCAGTGTTGGACTGGGGTGGACAAGGTCAGAAATCACACGACACCAGGTAAATAGTTTTATTTGAAATCACAAGCTCTCGGAGCGCTGCTCCTTCATCAGGTGAAGTGTCAAAAGAGCAGTGTTTCGAAAGCTTGTGATTTCAAATAAACCTGTTGGACTATAACCCGGTGTCATGTGGCTTCTGGCTCTATTTAGACAAGTACTGGGACGAATCTGAATTTGAACAATTCTGGAAACACATATTAAAAATCGAAGCTTAGAGCGAAAGACTAGAGGAATTGATATCCAGCACCATGGAATGCCAAAGTAAACATAACCCAAAGCATTTTTAATAAACCAAATAACTTTACTTACCACTAGTAGCCAGTCGATCCGGTTCAATTTTGATTTCAGACTAGTCATCAGTACAAACAGCAGGAAGGAAGTCAGTAAGAAGGCACTGCAGCTGACAAACTCGAAGAAGTAGAGCGCATGACAGTACATGCAGCTCTGCACTATCTCCTCCAGAATAAAGGCCACAAATGATAAGATCTATTCAGGAGCAAAAGGCAAAAAAGGCAAATTCAGATAAACATCCGGCAAATCGTGTTTTCATGTCGACATAAAAACGGTTCAGTTTGGGTTGTCTTTGGCCACTGTTAATATTACACTTTTTCAACTGATGATGGTATTGATTACATACGGTTAAACCACCCCCTTCATCACACTATAACCTATCACATAAAACGAATTTTTCACTTCCAGACTAATCCATCTTAATATCTCAGTTTGGTGGCAAATCAAGCAATGCTTCTTTGAGCCTGTTAAGAATTAAGAAACTCATTTTGTTTGACACCCTGGCAATGGCAACTTAGGTTGTGTGCAAACCTGAGGGATGAGCCATGAAGCTTGTGTTAACCCACTGTGGCAGCCTTTCTCAAAAGGCCCAATCAGTTTAACAACATTTCAGCTGGTTTTTCTCAAACCTACACAACACGATCACCTGTTGCTGAACCTATTCAAAATGTTTTACATTCTGGGAAACTTGTCGTCAAGAGCAGGAAAAACAAAAAATACCAAGTATTAAATGATAATCAAAATCCCCTATAAATGGCATTCAGACAACATAACTGATGAGAACATTACTGTGTTTTGCAGGATCCACTTCAATCTGAGTGTGAGCAGAAACCAAGAAGCTCAGGAGAATGTTTGCAATAGTGTAGTGAATAGTTACCAGCACATGTTTAGTGTGGCATACAAACCTGTTTGTGCATGAGACTTTAAGGTAAGGAATAACATACTGAAATTAGGTTAGTTAATGCTTGTGTAAACATGGCTTATACAGGTACATCTTCCCAGCACGCCTGAAATTCAGGCACAAGCTCTAACAATTGTAATTTCTACCCTAAAAATAGAAGAGAAGGCATTTATCTAATCTGGCTTGATCCTGTTACTGGACAGTGTATGGAAAGAGGTGACTTAAGATAGACAAAGCTTCAAAGAAGACAAATATCTCACTTAACTATCCAGTGAAGTCTATAAAGACACGAACACAAAACATTGTCCTTTTTACGTTTACTAGCAGTTTTCCATTGGTGATACTCCCATGATCCAGAATATTCTATGGAATATTCTGAGTTTTTAAATAAAAACTAACACCACTTGTCCAACTGATTCATTTTCAATCTTTCATTAGCACATGGCACAGTCCCAAATCTCTAATAACCGATTAACTTGTAAGCACATTATCTTGCAAGAGTTAAAATGTTACTGTGATCAAGCTATGAAATATTTACAAAATAATGATTAACTACTGCACAAAACTATGTTATACAAGCGATGTGGTAAAAAAAATACAACTGGAGAATCAGAGTGTCTGGATAGCCAGTAAGTGCCATATTCTCACTGTGTTACACATTAAAGGTTCCTTTGTTAAATCTCTTACTCCATTTTATTCTGCCCTTTTGATTCCTTGGTCCTCAACAGATTCAGGAGGCAAAAGGAACCATTGCTCTAGGTCTGTGTCAATAATACATGAATTACCCAAATTACAAAGAACTGAAAGAGAGTCTAAGAGGAGGAGACTGGGGTGGACAGCCAAAGGTTTTAGAAAGGAAGTCCAGAGATTACAAGTTTAACATATGACCAACAAATGTACATGTTGGAGGAGAGAAGGGGAGGAATAAAAGAGGAGATGCAGTGATAGGCATGCTATATGAACAAATGAAATAGTAGCAGAAGTACACTATTTGAAACCCCACGCCTTCTTCATGTTCAATATTTTGAATTCCACATTCCCGTCTACACCCGATTACTCACTATTCCCCTGCCTAAGAAGAGTCTATCCACAAAGAACACAGAACAGCAAAGCAGAGGAACAGGACTTTCAGCCCACAATATCTGCACTGACCATGATGCCATTCTGAACTAATCCCATCTTCCTGCACATGATCTGTTTCCCTCTATTTCCTGCCTGTTCATGTGTCCGTCTAAATGCCTCAAACTTTTCTACCATATCTGCTTCTACTACCTCCCTAGTTGAGGAGACGCTGAAGATAGGTCATGCACTGCAAGTACAGAAGATATTGCTGGGACATTGGTTAGAGACACTTAAATGACCTGGCATGAGCAGAAAGCAGAAACTGACCATCAGCTTAAAAAAATAATCGACAACTCCAAAACAACTTAAGGATTGTAGGGACTACAAAAACCTGTGGTTTTCATACAAATATGGGAAAAACTTGCAAACTTGTGCACGATACACTATTTAAAAAGCAACAGTCACACTTAAGGATATATGGCACCATCTACTGTACATATGTAGAATTTTCATTCAGTTGTACAGGATTCTCTTGGATGTTATTTAAACAACTTGATCTCCTTTACGGTTTCCAGTAATGATGAATTAAAATCATGCTTCTGTCTTTGATATCTCCTTGAGTTTATGATTTACAACTTGATTTTGAAGCTAGGCAGATCTGAATGGCTAGAATTGCTGCAAACATTATTTTTTTTTTAACTTTTAAAGATGTGATTGTAGCTTAGCCAAAGTACGTAAGATCACCCAATCACAAGGCTTTATGTTGAAATATGTGACCGATGCAGTTTTAAAAATCAGGAAACACCTTGAGTGGTACCATCCTGCTAGTTTCTCCTGTGACAGTGGGCTGAATATAGTACAAGAGAAAGAGCTCCCAATAGGATTCTCAAGTTGATTACTGAACAAAGACAGACTTTATTGAAGCTTTTCATCTTGCACTCAACAGGGCAATTCACAAAAAATACCAGTTTGAGGGCAAAATTAAAATGTATACTATATGAGAGGACAGAGTTGATTAACAAATAGACTCTGATCGTTAGAGGTGCTGCCATAGAAAGTATAATGATATTTAGCAATTAATTGCCAGGCTTTATTTAAATGAACCAGCAAATCACAGACTTATTATGGTGCAGAATGGGGCCATTTGGCTCACTGTGCCTGCACCTGTTCCATTGTGTGCACAGAATGTGAATCTCCTGCCTTCTTTTATTCAATCATGGGATGTGGGCGTTGCTGGCTGGCCAGCATTTATTGTCCATCCCTTGTTGCCCTTGAGAAGGCAGTGGTGAGCTGCCTCCTTGAACTGCTGCAGTCCATGTGCCACATTGCGAGTCTTCCTACAGCACAATGGGAGGCGATGGCCTAGTAATATTATCGGTGGACTGTTAATCCAGATACCCAGATAATGTTCTGGGGACCTGGGTTCAAATCCCGCCACGGCAGATGGTGGAATTTTCATTCAATAAGTATCTGGAATTAAGAGTCTAATGATGACCATGAATCCTTTGTTGATTGTTGGGGAAAAACCCATCTGGTTCACTAATGTCCTTTAGGGAAGGAAACTGCCATCCTTACCTGGTCTGGCCTACGTGTGACTCCAGACCCACAGCAATGTGGTTGACTGTTAACTGCCCTCTGGGCAATTAGGGATGGGCAATAAATGCTGCCTCGTCAGTGACGCCCTCATCCCGTGAATGAATAAAGAAAAACAAACAATGCCATTAGGGCAGACATTTTCCTGTTTTCACTGATAACGGTGCCTGTACTGCCTGCAGGTCCGTCCTTTGGCTGCTCTGCTTATACCTTCAACATTATGATCACCATTAAAAAATGATTAAAGCTGAATTATACTGTTGACAGGAGGAATAGTATCGATCGAGATAACCCTTAGTGATGAGCGATTATATTCTGGATTTCCAAATTCTCCATCACTTGGCTCATTGCTATGGATTGCATCGTTGTTGGCAGCCACACCGGAGAAGAATATTACTGGGCAAGGTTTTGGAATAGCAGCAGCAGGTGGTGAATGAACTAGAGTATAGGGACAATTATGTTATTGCCAAAGTGCAATTAGTGTCTCCCACCTTTGGTAAACTTTTATTCTTCGGCACTCGTGATTCTTTTCTTTATACAGAACTCCACGAAAGAAACCACCACAATGAAATGAATGAATGCTTTTTACTGCCCATATTTTAGCCCAATTAGTCAATGTCTGTCATTTTGGGCTGCCCCGCACTTCCCCAGCATTAGTCCATCAAGTAAGAGATATGAAAATTTCATTACATCTGTGGCACAATTGTATCGGTCATCATATCAGATACAACATGACCATGGCTGTGTTTTGCTCCCCTAAGACCTAAGCTGTGTTTTACTACAGAAGCATCATGAAGAGAAAGGACAACACTAACCTCCTCTTCTCAGTACCAACTATTTCCTTCTCAACTTCCCCTTCCCAATGCACTCAGCTCAATACAAGGATGATGTGGATCACTTTGTTTCAACGATCACAAACATCCAAGAAGAATACTGTGTGTCTGAACAATAGACAGATTAATTCCATCACTCACACAGAGTATAGATCAAAGATCCTGCATTGATTATTTGAATATTATGTGGCAATGAAATTGGATTTGGGATCAGTTGCATGTATTGGTCGATGAGAACTTAACTAAGTTGAACAAAAACAATTTAAGGAAAGAGCTTGCTGAAGGGACAGCGAAAGCTAGATGATTTAGTATCAGCATAACATGATTATATATAGTCAATATAGGATTTCTAATTTTTTTAAACTCTGGAGGATATGGATTCTCATAGTAGAGTAAACAATTGTTTACCTCCTATACTTCATCTTTTCGTTAAATAGGCCTCACCAAATTATTTATTCAATCTCAAGCTGCCACGTTACATTTGGCTGGCCACCTGCAATTTCAGTGAAATCTCCACATTCAACTTTTCTTCGCTGTTCCTGCTTTCAGCTTGGCAGCTGACTTTAAGAGGTTGGTTCAACCATGTGTTTGTGGTCAGATGTTCTGCATTTACCATGCCTCCCATGCAGCCTCATGGGAATATTGCAAGGCTGGATGTATCAGTGTCGATCTTGTGAAGTATTTTCAGGTTAGTTCAGAGCTGGTCCACCCGAGGATACATTGTCAACAAGGCATGCAAAGTTCTCCAGCATTAAATAGTTACTCCTGGAGTGGTTTCTTGCTTTATTAAAACCAAATACTTCTCA